CAGGATATGGATATCTTCATAGTTATTAATATAACATCAACTTGCACCTGGAATAAATTGCAATAAAAATGAAACCACGAAAGTAATAAAATTATATCAGATATTTTTATTCTAAACAAATTTATGTGTGTGTGTAATGCTGAGAAAGAGACAGAGACAGACAGACAGACAGAGAGAGAGAGAGAGAGGGGGGGGGGCTACCGTAAAGGAATTGTTTGCACTTGCAAATATCTGAAAATATATAGATTAACAGCATTTTTAGGACGTTATAACGTGATTCATGTATGAATCATATAAATTTTATGATTATCGTGGTGTTGATTATCCATTTCGCAAGCTATCAAATTTTACGATTTTCTTCGTTGCTTATCACGTTCAAACATGACTTTTTCGTTAATTTTTCAATGTCCAAATATTGAATCTTTGCTAATCAACATTTATTTAGTCACCACTTTGAATTAAAGATTTATGGCACAAATACTGAAATGTATAAACGATACGCTTTAAATTCAATTAAATTTAATGCAATAATAATCTTTATCTTTTGAAATACTTGAAAAGTTATTGTTAATGATAAAACAATTAATCTTTCGAGAGTTTCTCTTGAACTGAAGTGAGTTGGAATAGTATATTGTATCGAACCTTTCGATTGCGTTAGAGTGAACTTTAAATAGAGAACTTTTGTAACGATACTTCTCTTGATTGAGTTTGTTTTTCAGAATTTCGTTCCAAAGCGAAAATCGATTGCAACTCACCCGTTTATATCAATTTATTTTTTTTCCCTTTGGCGTCGTTTAATCAGGTGCCCAAAATTTAATTTAGCGAGACCGTAGTTTATCGTCGAATGATCCCGCGAGAACCGATAACGTTATTAGCTCGGTCTCGCTTTGCTGCGCATTAATGCGGCAATGGCGACACTATTTTGCCGAACGGCATCGCCTCATTTCGTTTTATGAAGCGCAATAAAGTTCCGTGTACACAATTAATTAGTTTACCAAGAGAACTTTAATGGGCCGGGATTAACCGCGAGAACTAACCATGAGAAATACCTTTAAAAATAACCGCATTTAAAGCAACGGAATATTTTTTGGCAAATTATTTGGAGTCAATCTTATTATTTTTTTATTCTAACTTATATTTTAAATCCGTGGATTTATTTGTATTATTACTATCTTTTCAAAACACACATAATATTTATTGTTAAAGAATAAATGCATTTTGTTGAAAAACATTAGCAAAAAATAGTCAAAATTAAAATTGGATCGAACGTTAGAAAATTAAAAAGTCTGTCAAATTTTGTTTCATATAATTATTATTTGAGATATTGTTTAAATTTTTATGATAATTATTTAAAACACATATATACAATTGTTTAAAATGTTTAACTCTGTTTTGTAATGTGATTTCTCGCGCTTAATTAATTCTTCATTTATTATTCACCACGTGGTAATCGTATCAAATTCCTATTTCTCCGATTACGGTTTAACGCTTCCGTTTATTGTTTGATTAGTTTCTCACGAACGATAACACGATATTATATAACTTCCAATATCCAAGATCTAATATCATACACGTGTTTCACGATAAATAAAACTTTGATTAATTCACCTAATTATAAAATGTACTTATCATGCGAGGCAAATCGAGAGTTTGCGATTCAATTACGTACGTGCTCTTGATAAAAATTGTTCCAGTTGAACTTGTATAAGGAGAGATAAGTACGTTAGTGAATTTAAGCGAAAATAAAATCGCAATTTTATCGTCGCTCGCTTATCGCATGGTTTACAAATTGCTTAATCAAACCATCGTCGCGAATCCACAAAGTGCAACCGTTGGGATTAACCGCGAAAGATTACAATGTAATTATGTCGGTGCCGCATATGTAGAACGTTATCACAAATTAGTGACATCATTGACATGCTGTATTTCTCTTCTTATTATCTCGAAATATAAATGTATATATAGATATATTTCCTCCCCCCCCTCTCTCTCTCTCTCTCTCTCTCTCTCTCTCTCTCTCTCTCTC